TATTTTTTTTTTTTTTTTCAATTCACAATTATATACATTTATGGATTGTGACAAAAAACTGCAGGATATTTTGCAGAGAACTTTTAACCTAAAGTCCAAAAGGGTGTTGTCTATGCAAAAATGCATTGAAAAAGTAGTGCCCAAGAGTGGGAACGAAATTACTTTCAAGACCCTTTTTCCTAGTTCACCTTATGACCTAACCAGCATGACATCCTCTTGTACCATTGTTTGAAGAATTTATCTTCCAGAATCTGGCAGTAAGTTTTGGGAGTTCATTTTTAGTCCATCTCGATATTTTATCTGTAGAAGATAACCTGCTTAACAATTATGCACATCTGAATATAAGGCGTTTTTCACTTCCAGCCTTCATGAACAATAATATATAGGTTATAAGTGATTAAATACAATATTAACACTAGTTAGCAGCCTCGTCTCTGATTGGCCGGAATTATGGCATTTTTTTAACACTGGGTTGTGTTGAGCAAGTCAGCCGTCGGCATTTAGAGAGCATTGAGGGCAGGCATCAGGTGAGCAAGCTAGTGAAACGTTGCACGCGCAAAAGAGAAGGACTGCACACATCCAAAAACGTATTTTAAATGCAAAATTTATTTTAGTGCACTCTAAATACTTTTTTCTTGCGAAACTAACATTTTCTCCACAAAACTCAGATTGCGCGTGTGCAACATGCACTTTTGTGCGCTCAAAATATGATCTTTCGTGCGCAGAATTGTGGCAGAGATCTAATCCTATACGAAACTGGCATCGTGCTTTTTGAATGCACGATCGCTTTTAGTTTCACTTTCGAGATTCACGATCGCACGTACTCTGTTTATACTGTGGAGCGGCAGTACTTGCCACACATTTTATATGTTTGTCAGTGGTATTGAGGATCTGCAAATCATTCGCCATCGTCCTCAGTCATCTCTCCTTACTCTTTTTATGTGGTAAGTAAAATTTGATGTACTGTAATGTAACAGGCAACCGTTACACTGTGTCTACACTGGACGCAACAGTTGTCGTGTCGCGCCGTGCCGCATCAGCTAAAGTCTGTCTACACTGGACACGACAAAGCGACCATTGAAAATCATTTGAAATTTGTGTCAGCACGTCATAAATAGAACGCGGCAGCAGTTTACTGTCGGGGATTTGTCGTGTCACGCCGCATCCAGTGTAAACAGCATCACTGATTATAATGAGTTCTATAGACTGATCTATATATAATAAATCTCTATTATAGATCAGTGGTTCTATAGTACATTGTCGCGCCGCTCGCGTCCGGGGTAGACACGGTGTTAGGAATCGTGTTTTCCCTTATAAGGATTCACGATTCGGGCACACCCCCTAACTCTAAAAAGACATATCTAAATCTGAGGTGTGATGTTTGTATTTGTATTTGCCTGAAAGCAACTGAATTCAAATGGAATAAAAATCACTGTTTGCAGCATTTCTCTGCTCCCAGAAGGCTGGTATTATAACGGTTTGGTTCAGGCAACACGCGAGACCTATTTGGAGAGTCAAGATTAAACTGTGCCGTCAGGGCTTGTCAGCGTGTATTGCATTTCCTCGGTCAACTTCCTGGGCAAAACAGAGCCGAGGAAGAGAGGCTGAAAAGACACAGATTGACGAGATGAATCAGCGAATGACAAATCTTTTGGACACAGAGGTCAGGGCAGGGGTGATTCTGACCTGCTTGACAGATTGAGCAGCTCGTGCTTGTCAGCCACCGTACTCTTCTCTTGCAGATCCAACAGGAGCACATTTATGAGATGAGAGTTCTTGATGACGATGGGGACTTCCTCAAACATGTGCTTTTTGAATGCACGATCGCTTTTAGTTTCACTTTCGAGATTCACGATCGCACGTACTCTGTTTATACTGTGGAGCGGCAGTACTTGCCACACATTTTATATGTTTGTCAGTGGTATTGAGGATCTGCAAATCATTCGCCATCGTCCTCAGTCATCTCTCCTTACTCTTTTTATGTGGTAAGTAAAATTTGATGTACTGTAATGTAACAGGCAACCGTTACACTGTGTCTACACTGGACGCAACAGTTGTCGTGTCGCGCCGTGCCGCATCAGCTAAAGTCTGTCTACACTGGACACGACAAAGCGACCATTGAAAATCATTTGAAATTTGTGTCAGCACGTCATAAATAGAACGCGGCAGCAGTTTACTGTCGGGGATTTGTCGTGTCACGCCGCATCCAGTGTAAACAGCATCACTGATTATAATGAGTTCTATACACTGATCTATATACAGTGCCTTGCGAAAGTATTCATACCCCTTCATTTTTTCCACATTTTGTTATATTGCTGCCTTATGTTAAACTGCTTGAAATTACTTTTTTCCACATCAATCTACACTCCATACACCATATTAACAAAGCAAAAACAGAATTGTCACAACTTCGTAAATTTATTTAAAAAAAAAACTGAAATAAGTACATTGCATAAGTATTCATATCCTTAACTAAATATTTAGCTGAAGCACCATTACAGTCTCAAGTCTTTTTTGTTTGAGGCAACAAGCTTTTCTCATCATCATTTGGCTATTATCTGCCATTCTATTCCTCGCCTCTTCACCTCTCAAGCTCTGTCAGGTTGGATGGGGGCAGGTGCACTTTTTCACGTTTTGGTGCATTGAGCTTTTCTTCTACTCTGTTGAGTCCCTCAGTCCCTGCCGCTGAAAAACACCCCCACACCAGCACACTTTACTTTTGGGATGGTACTCTGCAGGTGATGAGCAGAGCTGGTTTTCTTCAAACATGATGCTTAGAATTGAGGTTCATCAGACCAGAGAATCTTGTTTCTTAGAGTCTGAGGGTCCTTTAGGTGCTGTTTTGCAAATTCCAAGTGTGTTTTCATGTGTCTTCACTGAGGAGAGGATTGAGTTTGGGCACAGCCATAAAGCACAGATCGGTGGAGTGCTGCAGTGATGTTTGTCCTTCTGTAAATTTCTCCTATCTCCACATATGATCATGGTGCTAGAGTGACCATCAGCTTCTTGTTCATCACTCTAACCAAAGCCCTTCTCCATCAATTGCTCAGTTTTGCCATTTACCACATAATGAGTTTTCTATGCTAGACTGAATGTCCAGTACATTTAAATCCTCCCTGTATTCGATTCTATTCAGTGTCAAGATGCCAGTGGACAGAATGAGAATGCGCCCCTGGTTGGAGCAACAGATTGAGAGTGGGCAAATTCAAGGTCTTCACTGGCTCAATGAGGTAAGGGTAGAAATCTGCCATCAAATTCTAATTCATTTATTTTAAGTAGAGTATTTAAGAAGAGCCCTGCACATAAAATGCTGTGAAAAAAAAAAAAAATAAAGTGGTTCTGTAATCAGCGGTAAATCTCCATCACGTGCGTGCTTTCACATGGAGCAGCATTTACTACACAGAGCCTTTGTTCACTGACAAGCTGCGCAAAACCACGTTCATATATGAACGGCCTCAAATACTCAGATGAGCAATGTGTTCTGGTTGTTATCGTGGAATAACACATCTCGGAATGTTGCGACTGACCAATCAGAATCACATATTCCAGAGATATATACTGTACATACATATCATACTAAATGTATATTATCATGGCCATGTTGTACTAATTCATTCCCTCATCTGGCCATGATTTACTAAACAAGGGAACGAATGAATAAGCCATGGGAACGAGTTCTTAATTTGCATGTCATGTGCACGGCTCAATGGTAAAGAACTTTATATCTGTACAAGTTAAGTTTGAACATGTAATTTGTGTGGTAGTTTGTGTCTTTACCAATAACTTTGAAAATTATCTTTTAAATTTGAGCGTGCTTGACATATTACTCAACTCACTGAACTTGAATTGGGTAATAGTACACTATCCAAATGTTTCCATTAACAGGAGAAAAAGATATTTCAGATACCGTGGATGCATGCAGCCAGACATGGATGGGATTTGGAAAAGGATGCACCTTTATTTATGAACTGGGCCATTCACACAGGTAGCTGTTGACAGAGCTGTTGCCCATTCTCTCTTGTATAAAGAATGAGGCTTTAAGGTGACTGATTTAAAAGTGAAAATGGTAATTTCTGCAATATGTCCTCTATGCATTAGAGTTTATTCCTCTTTTACATACAGCTTTGAACACATTTCTAGGGTGATTATTGTGTTGGTTCAACTGGTTTGTGACTCCATTTTGTTGTACGAGATTTTGATTCAGTTGTTACCCAATTATATTTCATACAGGAAAGTATCGCCCAGGTATTGACAAATCAGACCCTAAGACATGGAAAGCAAATTTCCGCTGTGCTATGAATTCTCTACCAGACATTGAGGAAGTGAAAGATAAAAGCATGAAGAAAGGAAACAATGCCTTCAGAATGTACAGAATGCTTTCCTCATATGAAAAAGTTGTTAAGAAAGGTAATTTCATTAATGAAACACAATACTATTTAGTAGGGATGCACCGATATGAACATTTTGGCCGATACCGATAATTCTTTATTTTTGAAAGCCGATAACCGATATGTTGGCCGATAAATCTATATCCAAATTTTTATATACTTTTTGAGAGCCTGATTACAAAAAAGGTCTCTCTGAAGGAAATAATGCATTATTTATCGGCTTTAAGATATCGGCCGATATTTTATCGGGCCGATACCGATAACAGAAAAAATGAGCATTTATCGGCCGATACCGATATGGTGGCCGATATATCGTGCATCCCTACTATTTAGATAAAATCCCATGTCATTCCATAGCATTTTTGCTCATGTACATATCATTAATGTAGGTGTACATAGTTTTGTTTTGGTGTAGAAATTCTAACGATGACATTAGAATGCATATTGTCTTTTCAGGGAAGAAAAAGATGGACCTGGAGCAAAGAGCAAAAGTAGGATGCATGACTGTACACTCAAACAACAGTGCACATTTCTAAGTACCGCAAATAATCTCACACCTATGTTTGATTCCTTAGAGGGTTTTTCAGAAACGGAAAGCTGGCACTCCCAGAAAATATAAAATTACAAAAGAACAAAGTGAAGAGAACTTAATGGAAGAAACTACACCGGACAGCACTGTGCTATTTGCTGGTAAATAACCAAAACATGCACACAATCCCTTATTGCAATGAATGTTTGAATAAAAAAGTGGTATTCAAAAACAAATCATGTTAAAACTCAGAACTAATTTTTATTTATAACTAACTTTTAACCAATTTTTAATCATCTGGTCTCAGTGTTATGTTTTCATGTAAAAGCAAACTTCTTTTTCTGAAATGTTTTGCTAAAACAGATATCTTTAATGTAAATGCCAAATGGTTTGACATTTTATCACATTCATTATTCATACATTTTACTTAAAGGGATAGTTAACCCAAAAATGAACATTTGATGTTTATCTGCTTACCCCCAGGGCATCCAAGATGTAGGTGACTTTGTTTCTTCAGTAGAACACAAATTATGATTTTTAACTTTAACCGTTGCAGTCTATCAGTCGTATAATGCATGGCAATGGTAACAAAATCTATGAGCGTAAAAAAAACATGCACAGACAAATCCAAATTAAACCCTGCGGCTCGTGACGACACATGATGTCCTAAGACACGAAACGATCGGTTTGTGCGAGAAACCGAACAGTATTTATATAATTTTTTACCTCTAATACACCACTATGTCCAACTGTCTTGAGCGTGCGCACGGCATCCGGTGCGTGAGGTGTGTACGCGCTCTGGCGTAGTTTACGCAAGCGCCGGGAAGCATCTTGGATGCCCTGGGGGTAAGCAGATAAACATCAAATGTTCATTTTTGGGTGAACTATCCCTTTAAGGGTGGCTTAAAGGGATAGTTTACCCAAAAATAAAAATTGTCATCATTTACTCACCCTCAAATTTTTTACAAACCTGTATGTGTTTCTTGTAAAAGAAGAAAAAAATATATTTTAACGTATCTTGGTAACCAAACAGTTTCTGGTCCCAATTGACTTCCACAGTAATTTTTTCCGTACTAAGGAAGTTAGTAGGCACCAACAACTGTTTGGTTATTCACATTCTTCAAAATATCTTCTTTTATGTTCAGTAGTAGAAACAAACTCATACAGGTTTGAAACAACTGGAGGATTACTAAATGACAGAATTTTTGGGTGAACTATCCCTTTACGTATCAAAATACTTTTTCAGTAATTTACTGCATATCGATTGGTATGCACTGAAGGACTTTAATAATACTACATCTAACATACATTAGCGCAAATGATTAAAATGTATTTTAGTAGAAATGTTAAAGATGAAGTCTCTAAATCATACATGCTTATTCATCAACACAGAGCAGGAGAGCTTCCCTGTGCCCATGTCATCTGAGAGGGAGATGGCTGTAGCTGAATTACCTGATGTGTGTGCAGTTGTTGAGGTGGCAACGGAGAATGAAGAACCTGCGTTTAGCTCCACTGATATGTGTCTGCCTCTCCAGGACTCCCATGTTTCATCCTACAGTGGTAGGGTTTTTTTTTTTTGCATTCAACTCTACTGTCTTTGTGTTGTATTTACCACTGGAATAATAAACTACATATTACTGCTACTATTACTGAATTATGTTATTGTTGGCCACAAACACAGCTGGATATAATTATGAATTCTATTCTCTATTTTGCCTCAACAGAGAGTGACACAGAGAGCACAAACAGCGAGGAAGACTTAGCACAGGTATGAATGTAAATGGGTAAAAAAAATTCCAAGAAAGGATATCTTCCTTTTCATATTTTTATATACAATTTAGGCTCTTATATCTTATGAAATTGTGTTCTTGGTAACAGTCAGTTACAGCAAATACACTACAATTTTAAAGTTTGGTGTCACTATGATTGTTTTTTAAAAAATCATGAGGTAGCACTTTAAAGACAAACTAGTTGCTTAGTAGCATGCATATTACTAGAATATAGGCTGTTTATTAGTACTTCTAAAGCACATATTAATGCCTTATTCTGCATGACCATATTTTAGATCCTTTAATCATACCCCATACCTAAACAACAACCATTATGACTATTAATAAGCAGCAAATTAGGAGTTTGAGCAAAAGTCATAGTTAATAGTGAGAATTGGTCCCCAGACTAAAGTGAGACCAAACATGAATACTTTAATTTAGCAAGGATGCATTAAATTGATCATAAGTGACCATATAGGCACTTTCTATTTAAAAAGAATCCTGAATAACATGTATCACAGTTTCCACAAAAATATGAAGCAGCACGATTGTTTTCAACATTGACAATAATAATTGATTCTTGAGAACCAAATCAGCATATTAGAATGATTTCTAAATCATCATGTGTAATGGCTGATGAAAGTTCAGCTTTGCCATCACATAAATAAATTACATTTTATAATATATATAAAAAAGACAGTTATTTTAAATTGTACTAATATTTCACAATGTTATTGTTTTTACTGTATTTTTTGTTAAAATAAATTCAGTGTTGATGAGCATAACATTAGAAACATTAAAAAAAATTGTACTGACCCCAAACCATTGAACAGTAGTGTACATAGACATTTCATTTTCAAGCCACAGCCAATTTGGGATTTTTATTTTTATTAAATTTTTTTTGATTATGCTAAGAGTGTTATTAACTTCCCCCTTCAGCTTCCCCGGGACTTGTCCTTAAAAGCTTCACAAAGATCATCATGTAGTTCTGTGTTAAGGATCCCATCATCAGCTCAATCCTCACCAAACACATTTTTCACATCAACAAAAATCAATTTCAAAGTGACCAGCTGCAGAGAGGACTCACCCCTAATTGCTTACAACACTCCTCCATGGTTTCCCTGCCTGTTTAGTTTCCAAAACGTCACAGACATGCGACCCTCAAGTCCTGCCCCCTCACCAGATCTCACCAGCAGCCTGGCTTCTCAGGCAAGTGTGATAGCTAAAGCTGTGGACCTCTCTGTTGCAAAACACAAAACACTACAATGAAGACACTTGAAATGTACAACCCGCTGCTATTCAAATGATACATATACACCCATACTTCAACATTAATCAAGTACTCTCAGGTGTAAGATTTCCCTCAAATATTATCCTGTGTTCGTGTTCAGCTTTTAAAACCAAACAGAGTTCCAAGCTATCTGAATCCGTTATATTACATATCATTATATTTCTGAAATAGTTTGCAGCACACTACCTCATTCTCATAACTGCATTAAATTTGTAACTTGTAGAACTACCTCACGGATGTGACACTTGATCACAGAAGTTGTCAGTGTAAGCTAGTAATGATGCAGCATTGGGAGAATATGCTTGTATTAATTTAGCATTGGAGTGACATTTCATACATGTTGACCGTATATATAATAAAACAATAAAGAACGAAATAGAACAGTTACTGGGGAATTTTTAAGGGGAATTTGTATGCGTCTTTCTACAGGGTACTGTAGCAATATTGAAATCACAGTTTTTGAAAGATATGATTAAGGTTTCAGTACATTCATATATGAAATTGTCATGACATTTGACATTTTTGTCACTCCAGACCAACAGAATTATTGAACTGTCTGTCTGGAAACTTTAAGTTTTACTTGAGGTTCAGCTCTCCCATGTTAGTAGGGCTATAAATACTTGAATAGAGACACTCAGAGTTGTGTATTAACTTGTCAAACCGTTCTCATTTGTGTTCTGAATCACTCTTATTTTAAGGTAACGAGATTTTGCTATTGTTTTTGTATAAAGTATTTTTATACAACAGTCACTAATTTACATAATGAACAAATACAGTATGGAGATTAAAAAGCAAATATAAAAACAGGTTTATTGTAGTGTCAGTGATTAAAAAATTACACAATACAAAATCTTTTCAACACTCATTTGTTGTATAATGTACATTAAAACAGTGGTTCAAAGTGTTAGTAGTGGTACTAGTTAAAAAGATGAATGTGGAGTAGAAAAGCAAATCACTTTTGTTGCTGCATCTAACCTTGATTTTACAATAGAGGGATGAGAAGTCAATGTTTTACAACTCAGACTCTGTGTATGCAGTGGTCTAAATAATAAATTGTATTCTTGGTTTTCACCAATTGTGATTTTCATTCTTCACGTCATTTGTTTCATCTATAAATTTCATTTGTTTTATACAAAGCTAGTGGTGTACAATTTCATGTTGTTAATGGCGCTATATTCATAACAAAAATGTGTACATCTATAACAAGCTTATTATAATGTTTCATGCTCAATTCCAATTATGTTTCACTGAATTGATAACTTAACACTGTTGCACTGCTAATATAAAACATCTCAATTAGATGTGACTTCAATTCTATATTATACACAGATGTTTAAAAGCAATAGTTCACCCAAAAATGAAAAAGAAAGCGTTCTCCCCTCAAGCCAACCAAGATGTAGACGAGTTTGTGTCTTCATCTGAACAAATTTGGAGAAATTTAGGATTACATGACTTGCTCACCAATGGATCCTCTGTGGTGAATGGGTGCTGTCGGAATCAGAGTCCAAACAGCTGATAAAAACATCACAAGAATCCACATGACTACAGTCCATCAATTAACATCTTCAGAGGTGAAAAGCTGCATGTTTGTAATAAACAAATCCATAAACAAGGCGTTTTCACTTCAAACCGTCGTTTCTGGCAAAATACAATTCTATAATCCATACTAACACTTCCTCCATTGAAAAAGTCCATCCCCTGCTTTCCTCTCACGTCAAAATCTTTTTTTGACCGTTTTCACTTGTCAGTGCTTGATCTGTACATATTTCTCACCTGATTCAGATGAGACTACTTCACTGGTGAAAGCAATATTATAGATAGATGACTCGTATTTTAGCCGGAAACAACTGTTAAGTTAAAAACTGAATCAGGAGAGAAATGTGCACAGATCAAGCACCACTTACAAGCAAAACCAGTTCTAAACAAATATGTCGGTGGATTTTGATGTGAGAGGACAACAGGAGATTATGGACTCATATTTTGCCCAGAAACGACCGTTTGAAATGAAAACACCTTAATGGATTTGTTTAGAACAAACATCGATTTTCACATTACAAGACATTAATTGATAGACTGGTGAGCAAGTGATGTAATGCTAAATTTCTCCAAATCTGCTCCATCTTGGGTGGCCTGAGAGCAAGTTCATTTTCAGCAAATTTTCATTTTTGGGTGAGGTTTTATTACAGTCTGTGCCTTCTTTTGAAGTAAGATTGTATATTGTTGCACTTGATACTCTAAAAAAAAAAAATTATAATAATAAATCACAGTTTTTTTTTTCTGTAGAGGTTATACTTAGACCTGTGTACAGACTGGCTTTTACCAAAATGAAGAAAGTGTTTAGAAAACCACTAGTAACTGAGGTTGTAAAAGTATGTCATCCACTTTGAAATGGTGGGCAATCAATACCACCAGTCTGGATGATGTGAAGAAAAACGGTTTACTTCTCAAAGTACGGCAAATAAAAGAACTTGAATCCTCTTCGTCCCCGAACTGCACAGCTTATATAGATCACGTGATAGACTGAAACAAAAAAGGGAAGAGCAAGAGTTTCGTTGTTTTTCTCTAGCATTTTTCTTTAAGCAATGCCGCCTGTTCAAGTCTTGTTCTTCCTCTGCATGAACAACTTCTCTTGACTGCACAGATAAGTTCACAATTCATAAAACTATATTATCCAAGGTCCAAAATCCACTACTGATATTTACAATGGCAAACCTGACTTGTATATTAAGAACACATTAGATCTTACCACCGGGAATGAAGAGAAGAAATCCAGGAACAACGAAAATTGCACTTGAAACACCTAAAAAAGGCATAAATACATGGTTTACATAATTATACAGGACAAAATTAGCATAAAACCAACTGTTGATTTAGATTATGTCTGAAGGTGGTCTTTGTTTTTAAGGCATGCAGAGCACTGATTTATTAGGTGATATGCTCCACTTATAATTAGCTGAACAAGTTTGTGTTCTAAAGCAATCATGCTCATGTTTCATAGTTATTTACAGCCAATGTGACAGATCTTACCTGCATGAGGGTTTAACTGTATGACAATGCCTGTAAAAATCAAAGCTGATAGGAAGGAGGAACAGGGAGGGGGAGATAGGTAGGGGAGAGATAATACAATAGCTTAACAGCAGACAATTGCATTTGAATTTACCATCTATGCTCAAGAGTTGACAGCAAGGTAAACAAAGACAGCACTTTACAAGTCAAACAGAAACAGCAGTTCCCAGACACCTTCCTCCTGAGATCAGTAGTACTTGTTATGATCAAAAAACATCACAAAAGGTATGATAGTCTTACCAACTCCAGTGATTAAGAGGAGGAATGAGGCAAGAACAACTCGTCTGTTCTTCTTCACCAGCGGGTGAGACGTCCACCTGGGAACAATCCACACAGAACAAAGCACAAGGAAAGGAAAAGAATATCATAAACTATTTTAATTGACCCAACCAGAGTGATTTTGGTTAATATCAGCTTAAAATCTCATCCAGAAATATATAAACGGGGGGGGGGGGTTACCCGCAGCAGTGAGCAGACAGCTGTGTGACTGAGCTGAGCGTGCTGAATGACCACTGAGAGCTGCAGTAGGACAGAGTAGCAGGATCACTGGAACACAAGACAGACACGGGCTTGACATCAGGCTTTGACAAGTAGGCCTACTTGTACATCAAATGTGAAGATAAATATTTTATTTCTTTAAGTTGGCTATTTAATTACTTGTTTATTTAGCAGTTGGTCACTTGTTATTCTCTCATGAACAATGTGCAGCAAATTAAGATGCTGGACTAAGAATTTAGAATTACCTTAAGTGTAAAAAGAAACAAAACGTTCTATAAGATGCCATTTAAAATCTGCCATTTCTAACAACTACAGTGAATGACAATTAGAGTTTTACCACAGCAGCTACACAGATCAAAACTGGCATTTTTGCTAATGATTAATTAGGATAAACTTGTAGTTTAAACTTCTAAAGTTGGGGTCTGGGGGAGTAATTGTTCGCATGTTTCCATTAGCAGTAAGTTTTTTTGCCATATCAGCTTCACAGACTATTTCTTACTCTGCTTGTTCAATCTGTCAACAATAATAACAACTAATCATAATAATAATGACAGTAGGAAATGTACATTACACTGACAAACTCATCATCAATGACAATTGCTGTTAATTGCATCTGAAGGTTTTAAATCTCAGGTGGAGATTTTAAATTCTGATTTGTTATAACATTAAGTGCTGCAACACAGCTTGAATTAAATTAAAACCCCAATAACCAAAATGGGAGTTAACTTTAAACTCAGGACGACTTTTAAACTCTGCTTAAAGGGTTAGTTCACCCAAAAATGAAAATTAGCCCATTATTTACTCACCCCCGAGGCATCCTAGGTGTATATGACTTTCTTCTTTCAGATGAATCCAATCGGAGTTATATTAAAAATTGTCTTTGATCTTCCAAGCTGTTTAATGGCAGTCCTACATCATCCGCCCGGAGCTGCTTCCGTGTACAACAGTGAGCGCAAGCTAGATTGAATTGATTATTATGTTTTAAATATGGTAATTTTTCTTACAAAAACGCATTGATTCGCTACAGGAGGCCTTTGTTCACCCCCCGCAGCCGTGTGAGGCACTTTTTATTATGGATGGATGTGCTTTATTTCAGTTCTTTTGGTCTGATGAACTGCAACACCTGCTGACTGCCATTAAACAGCTTGGATTCGTCTGAAAGAAGAAAGTCATATACACCTAGGATGCCTCGGGGGTGAGTAAATATTATTATTATAAATAATAATAACCCTTTAATGAAACCCTTATTGGTGCAACCCATCCTTCATTTTGTACTATGCTGCTCAAATTATTTCATTCAATGTTCAATTAATTTCCTTGCTTAATGAGAATTTTCAAACCTGATTTTGAAGAAGTTATTGAAAGAAGAGTTCACAGTGCCACCTAAAGCATCTTCATTTTCCAGGTTCTGTGGGTGAACACAAACTAAAGTTAGTCATATTTGCCTGTAAAAGACTCTCTAAAAGAAAGCAACACTCATGTAACCACCTGACCTGATATTTCAGATTACTGTGTTCAGGAGTGCCAGTGGGTCCAGAAGTTTGTGTTTTAGCAAAAGAAAGAGGTCCAAACATCATCTCTCCCCCGCCATCCTTCTCTCTCCCCTTCCATTCCCCCTCATCCTCTCCAGGCACCACATCTTCCTCCTCCTCCTCCTCCAGGACGAACGCGTCATCAATTGTGAACTCTGTCCCCATTGCTACACGCCCTCGGATACTTGCTGTTTGTTAACTGGCAACCACTGTGAAGTTAATGAACATCTTAGTCTAGTTACTGTCCTCTATATTTTCATAATGCAGTATAGTGCATTGACTGCCCTATAACATTCCTTTACAATACACAGTAATGAATTTTACCTTTTTCTCTCTAAATCACTTCGTCCCAACTGTAAGTATTACTAAAGATTCAAAGTGATTGGTCTACAAAATTGTATAAGTACAAGGGAAAGTGTTTTATAAAGACAATTATGCAACAATTAACTTTTTGTTTTTATCAATTTTTATGATTGCTGTTCATAACAGCTGTTGTTTATTTAATTTATTTATTACTGAAAAGTTCACAGATTGTAAAACTTTATTTTATGAGGCAGATTCAGGTTCACATGTAGAATAAATGCCGAGTGTGACAGAGTAATTGCCCTGAGGAAGCATGTGACTGACACGCTCTTCCGCTTGTTCCTAACAACAGAATGTTCGCATCCACCCCAAAACAATCTACAGCTTGCGTATTGTAAAGGAGCTCGTTACACGCGACACATAATTTTAAGTGTGATACAATAATAGAATGCGAGTTTAAAACCTCGTATGTCATTAAAAATAACAGTTGTTTTGTTTTGAGGCAAAATGTCTACTGCTAATTTTACGAGTCTGCCTGAAAATTTAAAGAGTCGAACATCCCGTTATCAAGACCAACAATAGCGCAAAATTACAAAGGAAGAATCCTCTACTTACTGTCCATTAGTCTTGATCTTCGTCAGTTATTTATAGATCTGTCTGCCATGATCCTTAGATCACTTCCAAGGCATACAAAGTTAGTAAAGCTGTTTAAATTTATTATTTACTCGCCGGCGAAAAACTTCAACCCAAACTTTGCTAGTAACAGCTGCTTCTTTTTCGTGGGTTGAGTCTAAACACACAAAAGTAGCGGTTGTCTCTTCAGTGACACCCGGAGGACTGGAGGATTCAGCAATTGCACTCAAGAAAACATGGGGCATTTTTTTTTTTTTTTTTGCAATTTTTAGAACAAAGAACATATAAGGGCAATAACATTTAAACTGAATGAAAACAAATACTTAAAATAAA